AAAGATGACCGGTAAGGGGATCTCAACCCTTGACTTGGTGTTGTCAGCACCACGCTCAGCCAGTGAGCAAACTGGCCATCCCTATATGGGATCCGAACCCGCGGCCTTGGTGTTATCAGCACCGCACTCTACCGAGTGAGCCACGGGCTGGCCCAACAAAGTGATCTTAAAGGACACATCAAGTCACCTCAACTCCTCTTAAAGCTTGTTAGAGGCTCCCATTCACTAAAATAAAGTCTCATTTGGCCAGCCACCCAGAAAAATAAATAAATAAAAATAAATACAATTTTTTTTTTTTTTTTTTAAAGATGACCGGTAAGGGGATCTTAACCCTTGGCTTGGTGTTGTCAGCACCACGCTCAGCCAGTGAGCAAACCGGCCATCCCTATATGGGATCCGAACCCGTGGCCTTGGTGTTGTCAGCACCACGCTCAGCCAGTGAGCAAACCGGCCATCCCTATATGGGATCCGAACCCGTGGCCTTGGTGTTGTCAGCACCGCACTCTCCCGAGTGAGCCACGGGCCGGCCCAAATACAATTTTTTTAATCTGCTCTCTATACCATGGTCCCGAGTCCTGAGTTTTCAGACCTACTAATGAAATCAATCTAGTCGGTTGCAAACAGCATTTTTTATACTAAAATTGAACAGATGGGAATAGAAAACAGAAAAAAATATATATATATCACACATAGTAAGAGTAAATATTGTTCCATGAAACTTAGGCTTCTGTTACATATATATTCATATATGTATGTGTTCTGATTCACAACAGAAGTCAAGCTTACTGTGGATCAAGGTCATGAAAGTCTATATGACATTCATCCAGCCCCTGCCATGTCAGCCACACCTAAAGCCACTCTTCCCATCACTCTGCCCTCCAGTGCGGATTCTTCCAGTTCCTTTCCTGTATCTGTCCTGCCTCAGAGTTTATGCATGTGCCTTCTCCTCTGCATGGGATGTTCTTTGTGTACTCTCTGAGTGGTCAGCATCTTTCCTTTAACTCTTAGCCTGTCACCTCCTCAGAGAAGCCATGCTTGACTCCCACCTAAAGTAATTCTCTCCACTGTTGCTGTCTCTTTATAATTTGTAATTATTGCATTTGTTTATTTGTTTCTCACCTGTTCTGTTTCTCACCTCACCTCTGCTAGAATGAAAGTATTGAACGTGTCTGTGTTGTCCAAGTGCTTGGCTCAGGATGGTAGCCCAGATACCTGGGTTCTAGCCCCATCTCTGTCCAGATTAACCAAGTGGCTTTGGGCAAGTCACTTCCTCAGTTCCCTCCCCTGTTGCATGAGGGGTTTTAAAATAAATACTCAATAAGAGCCTTCCCAGTATTGACATTCTGTGGTTCTTTTTTCAGGAACCGGCTAGGGGATAATGATCATTTTTTTCCAGCTTACAGAATTGTTTTATTTCCCGTATTTCATTTGATTTGTGCAACAGCTCTTGCAGGAGGCCAATTAGGCTGTTCTTGCCAGTGTCATTTACATGTCAGAGCCATGAAACTCACTGGCTTAGGAATTTGCTCAAACCAGCAGACTAGCAAAGTTGTGTGCCAAACCTAGGCCTTTGGCTTATACTTTCATGCTTTTTTCCCTAATACCACTTACCCTGGATGAGAAGAATGAGGACCGCATAGGAAAAAGGGGCCTTTCTCAGCTTCTCTTGCCCTTGTGGTGATGTTACTGTCTTACCCTCAGAGTGCAGTTTGAGGTCCTCAGCCACCTGCCCTGTGACGTTAACTAAATCTAATGGTAAAGTCAGAGAGGCAACCTGTCTGAAACTCCCTTACCACATTTTAAATGAGAATAACAAAATCTACCTTAGGTAATTATCATGAGGACTCAAAGGTATTAGAAGGGACTTGATTTTCTTTTTTTTCTCTAAACATTACTTAAAGTCTGCTGTCTTAAATATCCATTTGCTAAGGAGGGTGAACTGTGATTGGGTGGGTAGAGGGGACCTTTCTCACTACCCTGGCCTCCTTCCCTGACTCAGGAACCTGGCAGACCGAGGCTGTGTTCAGTGAGGAAGCACTGATTGGAATTCCAAGTGACATCCCTCTTCAGAGTGCTGCCACCCTGGGTGTCAATCCCTGCACGGCCTACAGAATGTTGGTGGACTTTGAGCAGCTGCAGCCAGGTAGGAACCCACAGGTGAGGAGAGCAGCCAGGATCTCCCACCTGGGGTGCAACCCAAATCCTAACCCTGAGGCTATGGGAACTTGCCAGTGAGGGATCTAAGAGGATGACAGGCCCCTAACCTGGGTGAGTGTATTATTGCTTTCACTTAGAAAGATAGCGTGGTTCCTAGAAAACATGCTGAAACCTCATGGGGAGTACAGTCTTGAAAACTGCTAAAGGGCCACATTCCCTGGAGCTTGGGATGGAATTCTGTTATTCAGCAAAAATGTGTTGAGCTGTGCTAAGCTCTGGGGAAACAAAGCCAGACAAGATAGACACAATCTCTGTGTTTTCAATAAAATGCTGAACTTGGTGCTAATAATTCCGCTCAGCATTTACATAGGACTTTCCAGTCCACATAAGTGCCTTTATAGGCATTATCTCATTGAGTGCATTAGCAGTGTGGTAAGGTTGGTAAAAACTCAAGCCCTAGGCAGACAACCTAGGTCTGAGCTCTAATCTGAGGTCAAGTGTCACCTTTTCACTAACTGTGGGAATTCACCTCTCAAGTGAAGATTTTTCATCTGTAAAGTGGAGAATAAAGAGCTGCAGAATCATTGCAGTTTCATTAACTCTTTATTAAGAGTTAACACCTAGCACAAGCCTGGTGTACAGTACAGTAACTATCTTCCTTTTTATTTATTTATTTATTTATATTTATTTGTCTTCCTTTTTATAAATGGGGAAACTGGCTGGCTGGTTAGGTCAGTTGGTTAGAGCACAGTCTGATAACCCCAAGGTCACAGGTTCAGATCCCTTACTGGGGCAGCTGCAAAAAAATTAAAAAGTAAATGGGGAAACTGAAGTCCAGAGAGGTAAACAAGGTCACTCAGCAAGTAAATGACAAAGCCAGGTGTTTCATTGGGGTTCCTTTGAAAGCAGTGCCTGAGACCAGGATTGGGGGCAGACAGCTCATCCGGGAGGTGATCCCAGGAATCAGGAGTGAGGGAGTGGAGAGAGCAAGACAGGGACAGAGAAAGAGCCCATGAATGCTGGTGACTGCCATGGGCAGTCACAGAACCCACTGCAGAATTAAACCCCAAATGACAGGAGGCTGGAACATCTTTCCATCAGCTTTCATCCCTTTATGGCACACTGCCTCCCTGACTGGCTAATTCCAAATCTATGCCTAGGCTTTGACCACAAACTAACTGTAGTACCCTGTTTCCGTGGCTGCCAGTTTCTCTGGTATGGCTCTAAACCCATTTTAAGGCAGTGTACCTTTATGAAACAGTACAAAGAGGAATAAGGCATGGACCTTCCCCTCAGGATGCTGCAAGCTATTTATAGAAATGGACCTATATATAATCAAGTTTAACACGGGGCAGACCATGATATGTGCATTAATGGAGAGGCCCACAGAGTGCTATGGGAGCACATAGAAAAAAGAATCCAGGAAGGCTTCATGAAGGAAGCCACACTTAAGGCTTTACAGGATTTCAAAAGAGTCTTGAGGACACAAAAGTTGAGAGGATGATGAAGGATATAAAATCATTTACACGGCAGGGTCTAAATTATGTCCACTGTAGAAGCAGAGTTGCCAGTCCTGGGAAGCATCATGGGTGCTGTGGAAGATTGGGAAGCATTGGAGGAAGAGTGAACCCAGGGTCTGAGAAGGCTCAGCACCCCAGTCTTGGGTCCCTTTTGAACCTGGAGACTCCATCTATTGCCCTATATAGCATCCCAGGCTGAGAGCCCTTGACCTTGGCAGGTCTGCAGGGCTTAACTTGGGTCTCTTCCTGGCTCCACAGGGGATTCTGTCATCCAAAATGCATCCAACAGTGGAGTAGGACAAGCAGTCATCCAGATCGCTGCAGCCCTGGGCCTGAGGACCATCAATGTGGTCCGAGACAGGTATGTGAAGAGGCCTAATCTCAGAGCACAGCTTGGACCTTCCCACCTCGTATCTCTGCAGGTGCCCACATCTCCACTAGATGGCACCCTTGCATAGGCTGGCCTCCTTCATGGTTCGCTAAAAGAGTTGGCCTCTAAAACAGATGAGTCAGCACAGAGAACTGCAGTCCAGGTGGCTTCTGGCTATAGGATGGGTGAATCTCTGAAATGTGAAGAGAGGGCAGGAAGGAGGTGGAAACTGCCCTTACTGAACAGCTAAGAGTCTGTGAGACTCTTGACTTATGATAACCGCATGTTTTAAAAACTACTGTTCATATTTGGGGATGTTTTGAGCTATATTATTCTTTCCGGAAACTGTCTAACCCAAGGCCCTTTTTCCCCTTGGATTTGTGTGGTACTTTAAAGTGCACTAAATCCAGATGTGAAGGAGATGTGGCAGGTTTGTCATCTCTCTTTTACAGATGAGGAAACTGAAGTTTCAGAGAGAGGAAGCAACTTGCTCAGGAAGACACAGCAAGTCAGTAACAGACTTAGTTTCCTGGCCTATTTCCTTTCCATTGTATCATCCAGTTCCTTTATGCCTCACTGTCCACAAACATGGTCGTGTCTGTCATGGAAGTCCAGTCTTAGTAGGAGAATTGATACTCCCTTTAGTTCCTCATGTCCTCAATTGTGCTAACAAAAATTACTCTGTTTGCTGTGGCCAAAGAGGCCCAGAGCCATTCCTGGCCTAGAGTGTGTTTGCATAGCATTCAAGCACCTTGAAAAGAGAGGGGAAAGGAAGTGGAGTTTGTCGTTTCAGTAGAAGACATCAGGAAGTGAAGTGACTTCTCCCTAGGCACAGATTGGTTTCCAGCATCCTTGAGCTGGCAGAAGCTGTAGAAATCACCCAGTCTTAGCTGTCTCATGCCATGAGGAAACTGAGGCCAAGAGCTGTTGGAGTATGATGAAATTAGGTGGCAGCCCCCGGTCAAGGCCTGGCTGAGAGCCAATCCCAGCTTCCCACAAAGAGAAGCACTGGTTCTCACAGCTGCAGTGGTGGGGGGAGGGGGGGGAGGGTCCTGGGAGCCCTCGGTGGAAAAAGCCAGCAATTGTGACCAGGGATCTTAGCTTGTGTTTGTTTCCAGACCTGATATCCAGAATCTGACTGACAGACTGAAGAATCTGGGGGCTGAGCATGTCATCACAGAGGAGGAGCTAAGAAAACCTGAGATGAAAAACCTCTTTAAGGTACCTAAGAAGAGGGACATTGCCCCTCCAGTCCATCCCCATATCTCTAAAGAAAGTTAATTTGAATTTAAAAAGCTGGTGGCTGTTCCTCTCTTAAAACCTCCCTTCACCCCTTCTTGGAAGAGAAAGCCCATTCCTAGCCAGGGGACAGCATGCAGTAAGTGCCCAGATGTGTGAGGGAGGCAGGAGAAACAAAGTCTAGGAAACCCTGTATGATTTGCAGTTTTGAATGCTTGTGGTAGGCCACATCAACCTACACAGTGGGTGTGAATCTTAGAGGTGGGAGACGACTGGAGGAAACTGAGACACAGAGAGGGAAGAGAAAGAAAAGAAGTAATGTTTCCTTAGCACCTGTCTTACACTTTATCTGATAATCCCTGCAAAAGCTGTACAAAGTAGGTGTTATCTGTTTTGTAGATGAAGAAACCAAGACTCAGAAAAGATAAAGGACTAGACCAAGATTACATAATTATAAGTGGTGGGGCCAGGGCTAGCCCGCAGTCTCCCTGAACTCAAAATCTCTTAAATTTCCAGAACATCCACTTCCCAGCATGCCTGGTAGAAACCCTGTCTTAGCCTCTTTTCACTAAACCATCTGGAGGGACCGAACATTCACTCACACTCAAGAGCATATACTTCTTGAGGACATTTCTGAAGCAGTAGATAAGCACATCTAACACAAACTGAGTCATAAGTACTGAGAAGAAGAGCACTCAGGGAGCTAAAGTCTATCGAAACTGAACATAGATGTTCTGTGTCTACTCTAAGAGGAGGTGAGTTTTGAACCATGTCATGAAATGGATGACAGGATTAAGTTGGTAAAGAAAAGTCCCTTCCTGGGCAGAGAAAAAAGTGACTTCGAAGTCATAAATGTTCCATTTTCTTAATTTTTTTTTTTTCCTTTTTGTCTTTTTTCGTGACCGGCAACGGATCGCAACCCTCAGTGTCGCGCCCGTACCGGACCGGGACCGGCAACGGGATCGCAACCCTCGGTGTTGCGCCCACACCTCGCTCAGCCAGTGAGCCGCCGGTCTGTATGTGGGATCCGA